TTGTAACTCTAGAGATTAATTTTTTTATTTTCATTTTATTATTTTATCCTTTTTCTTTCTTTCTTTTTTAAAATAAAAGTAAACAATTTTTAGGTGAAAGAAACACTCCTTTTCGTTTTCCCCAATAAACCGCGTAACACTGCTCGCCTGCGGGAAAAACGGTGGCACTGGGGGGGGGGGTGAATTTCAAACTTTTTCCTCGGTAGTTAAGGGGTTAAAATATAATTTCTCCTCCTTGCCCACAATACAATTTTAGAAACAACATATGGAATTTAAAAATAAATTGCTTTGAAATCTTGTCTGGGAAAACGAAATTAATTCTATTAAATGAGTTATTCATTCGAATATTTCCATTCTGCAAATAAATAGAACTCTAGATCTTAATGTGTGGGTGCTATTTTGTATAAAAAAAAATAGAAAGCTAAATCTTTTATCACAAGCACTTTATTCATTTTTCAAAGGACCACCCTTAAAATTACTCAAGCATTTGAAATTAACACGTTTCAGAATGCTGCGAACCATTTAAGAGCATAGGCGAAAGTTAGATTCTGTTTTGTTGCTTTCAAATTCAAATGAATGCTAAAAGTTTTCTTAACAAAGGATCCATTCTTATTTTAACAATGCGTTTATGCGTTACATATGAAAATTAAATTGCACATTACAAAATCCGAATGGCTTCAACAACAAAGTTACGACAAAAAATTGAAAAGCACTAATGGCGAAAATGTCTTTCTACGACTGACTGAATCTGTTTCAGTATGTATAGATAGATTAACACTCACTATTTTTCACATTCTTTACTGTATTATCTTAACAATACTAAAACGTTCTTATTTTTAAAATAATTGAATTACCCCCAACAAGTATACAATTTATCATTCAAATAAGTTGTCTGGGTTTTTACTAAAAAAAGAAGTTGTTATACAAGTACTACCATTCAAATGAGAACTTTATTTTTTCCCCTTTGACTGTATAAATATAATAGAAGTTGTAATAGAACTGCATTATATATGTATGAATCTGATAATGGTCCTCACAATTTTAAATCCTAATCAAATATGTACCTCTCTATCCTAACTTCCACTCATTGGCAGTCAAAAATTTTGCATCAAAAAATCATATTTAACGTTTAGAAATCTTAGCATTACACTCACTGATTAAATTCGCGTGAACGTATTAAAAAAATGTTGTTTTAGAAAAATTAAACTTTTCTAATAATTGCATCAGCTTGAAGGGAAATCAGTTAAAATGCAACCTTAGAACTGCAAAATAAGTATACGTATAAATTAAAGACAAGTGAAATGCCTTCTTCCATTCTTCAAAAATTTAAAAAGAGAACTAGTGAATAATTCCTAAAAGTAATTTTATTTACAAACTTTATTTCGTGTTTTTAAAATGTAATAAACGGAATTGCTGTATGATAAAAAAATTGGTGTCGCTATACGATTCGTGTTTCACTGTTGAGTTACTGCTTCGAAAAAAAAAGCTTTTTTTACAAAAAAGAAATTTATTACATACCTTATTATGGCTTTAAAAAATAATACCCTTTCCTAATGGGTGTGTTGATACCTTTCCCCTTCTCACATAATAGCTGGATCGTACGAAAGCTGTTGTATTAGGGACACTTTTATAGACGCTTATATGAGGGTAGTATTAACCTTTAGAAAAAAATAATCGCATTGTTAACATATTTCAACCTGTTTATTTAAAAAAGAGAGAGTAATATTTAGGCATATACCGTATTTACTCGATCTAATCCGCACTATTTTTCAAATGTTTATGCTACTGAAATCGGTGTGGCTTAGAATCGAAGGCAAAATATTTGTTGGATGGGAAAATGAGAATGAGTGCTTTGATCTCTTTCAAAAGGAAAAATCTAACCATCAATTCTGACCGCTTGCATCCATGACTTATCCCATTGCGCAGCTTATCTCCAGTATTTAGTCTATTCTAAACATCGATGCCAACTCGTATTTAGGAATTTTTTTCGTATACGCTTTCTTTTAACTACCTAAACATCGAAGAGAGATATCGGTCATAGTATCAGGACCAGCTAGCTCACTATGATTCAAGTATAAAAAAGGAGGCAATTTTAAAAGCAGGAAAAAATGGAAACAGAGTAACTGCCACTGTAATTTTGACACGGATGAAACAAATATACGTCGATGGCGCAAACAAAATGATAAATTAATTTCTTTTAAATTCTTCTATAATACATCATTTAAAAAAATGTTGCAAAACAAATGCATTGGATTGTATGGAAGACTGCTCCGTGAGGGGAAAAAGGTGACACTGGCACCAATTCCGAAGTCAGCTGTGACAATGGGAGTGACGAATCATTTTCGAAACATGATACTGACGGTTAGAGTAATTATAGGTTCACGTATGTATCTGAAAGTTTTTAATACTGGTAAAATAAATTCGTTATCAACTTCCTATTATTTATCATTAAAATTTATTCTTTTAAATTTCTCAAATACCAAATATTAATGAACCTTTTACAATTTTTTTTTAAAATTTTTTCTCGAAAACATGCGAAGAATTAGGGGTGTGGCTTAGAATGTATGACAAAATTTTTTCAAGAAAACATGTTGAGAATTTAGGACACGGCTTAGATTCGAGTAAATATGGAATATATAAGCAGAGATACAAAGCAAATCTGCTTTCTTCTGCTAACACTTAGCACGAAATGATATCCGATCAATAATAACAAAATCTATTAAAGAATTTTCATATTTATTTTCAAATAGAAATCCTCCAAGTCAGATGAAATAGCAATAGGTTATAACTAAAATAAATAGTAAACTAGGGGGGGAAATGTAGGGTAATAATACTAAAGGGAAATAAATAGAAGCAAAATTACATTTAAACATTTAGTCTGCTGTTTTAATAGCCTTAACGTGTACGAAACTGCAAGAACAGCGTTTAAAAACAACTGCATCAAGTCAATCAGCAAAAATTGTACAATCTGTCTAATTATATTTATTGTTGTTTTTAGGATTCATTTATAGCCCCTTAATCAAAACGCGTAAGTGTGTATTCTTAAATATTAAGGCCTTTTCTCACAATACATCAAATAATATATTTTTTGTTTCCTTAAACGCCCTTAGCTTATCATTGACGATGTCAGCTTTATGCGGACGTGCATTATTACCCATTAAGACGAAAGCAAGACCAACTGCTACAGCATACATCCTACGACAGCTGTACGACTCCGTGCCGATTCTGGAAAACCGTCACAGGACCCCGACTGATGATGCACATGTCGATGCGATATCCCAACGAAATACCACTCCACATCATGGTGCTTCTACCTAGGAAAGTTTGATACGCAATGATGTTCTGAGACTGATTGCGTTGCTCTCTCTAGCCCCAAACATACTTGTAATTTGGCTCTAGGGCGAATCTCTCTCAACTCCTCCTAACATAACGGTACCCCAATCAGACACAATCCAATCCACATATTTGCGACACCAATTTAATCATGTCCTTCTGGATTAGACAGCAAGAGGAACATAAACCCGTTGTACTTGAGAGCACAGTACATTCATGTTTAGCCTTCCGTATGCTGTAGTGGCAGATGGACGTAGATGTAACTCGTGTTAAGGTTGTTTTTCGATTGACTATAACAGCAATACATGGATTTTTCGCGGGGGTCTTGGGAGATAGACCACAGATCTTCCGACAACTATTATATTATTGTGAAATGGTGGGTTGATGAACGCAGAAGAAAAGAATAGCATCTATGATTGATTATACTTCTTCAGGGTGTCCCACGGAACACCCAGCGCTCAGTTTGTGCCATTCGTCTTATAGAAGCCATAGAAAACGCGTCTGCTTTTAAAACTAATCACACTTACATGCAACTCTTCACAATTCTAGCTTATTATATAGTTGTCTTCTTTCACATGCTTCTCGACACGAATCCGTATTGGCAGTTATATAAAAGTATAACATATTTGCATACTTCCATCTGTATCTGCAGCGAATTGCAGTAACTGAAACACAGATTCTTCTCCGGGAATTAATTTTTTACTTTCCGTGCTTGACTTTTGACGGTAAATATAAATAAATATTCGGTTACTTTCTAAATTTTCTGAGAGATGTATAACTGCACATCATACAAAAAAATTTCCAATCACAGTTAAAAGAAAATAAACATATCTTCTGAATGCTCATACTTGCAGCATATCGATTTTTCTTGTAATAAAAAAATATAAAAATAAAAATAGATCACGGGTAGAATGTACAAAAGATTTAAAAGCATCTAGTTTAAAATTTGATTTTTCAAAGATGTTCTAAAAGCATCAAGTACGGATACTTTATTAAATAGGAAAACATGATTATAAATGGTTTTCAAAAATTTAATCATTTGATTTTCGATTTTTTTTTCTACACATTCTTTTTGGGTCAACAGAGTTTAAATGTACCATGGAAAACTGTTAATGGATTTAAACATATAGCGAGATGAAGAAACAGATTTGAAAGCTCTGATCTATATATATATATACACCAATTTCTCTTCGTTCATCGTATTCATAAATGATTTTGGCAAGCAATCAAATAGCTCAAGCAGTCAAGCATTCCATTAGTTACACAAGATAAAAAATTTTCTTTCTTTCAAAACGTAACCATTTTTTTTCAGAATCAACTATGATGGATTTACAGCGTTCTGATTTCATAGTAACTATTGACTTCAATTTAACAGTTAATTAGTTCTAAGGGTTTGATTTTTTTATGTTATATAAAATTTTAACTCACACAGATTATATATGATTACTTTATTTAAAAGTACATTTCTGTTAAAAACGAGAAGATGCTTGAATCTATCAATGCAGATTTATTTTTAATTAACGTCGTACTTTTAAACAGTGCAAGAGCTATTGGTGAAGAACCATGTAGTTTTGAACCGCAGTTAAGAGACAAAGGACAAAACTTGAGATTGAACCCCATTTTCCAAATTTCTACAGCATTCCGACGTGAGAACCTTGAGAATGCCACCCATCCAGTATGGTGGATATGACACTCGGCTTGTAACTGAATGAGCTCGGGTTCAAATCCCGAATAAGGGATGGTTGTATCTTCTTCGGGAAAAGAAGTCGGACTTTCGCCTGAAATGAATTGCCGTCTCGAATGAAAAGCAGCGCACACCTTTTGTTCTATGCTGGGATCATCATTTGTAATAAAAATGTCTATATTTTTCTGCTTGCATTGTATGTTTCTGTTCTTCCATCTCTCGTCTTTCATGTGCATCCCAAGATAAAAAAAAACACGAAACAACAACAGCAACTTTAAATCTAGACAGGTTTAAAGTGCATCAGACACAGCCAAATTTAAAATGCTAACAACTAGTATTCAATGGGTCCAAGAAAGAAATTCACTACTCAACTGTAATCCCCCACAAATGAAGAAACCAGTGTATCTATTCAGCTCAGACTGAGGAAGATATCTCAGAACCATGTCGTCCACCTCTAATGGATCCCAACACATGTTAATATTAGTGATAATGAGGTAGTTGGTAGACTGGCCAAAGAGGGCAGTGAGAACGAAATGGTCTCTAGCTCTTCGCTTACTAATCAAGAACTGTGTTGTTGTTGTTGTTGTTTCTTATCTCGATCAAGTCCATGAACCAGTGCGTTTTTAAACAATGAAGAACTGTAGCTGGATTTGAGAGCAGCTGGCTCTTATGGCAACCATTACAAGCTAAGATGTGGGCAGGTGCAGCTTGGCTTACATTGCAATTTGGACAAGGAGGATAAACTTTAAGACCATCCACACGCCGTTGAGCTTGAGTATGTCCACTGCGAAACCTAGCAAGAGTAGTTTCCTTGCGCCTACCGCTTGTCCCAATCAAGAACTGTACCCAAATGAAAGATCTAAAATAAATTTAATACGGCGTATTCCACCTACGCATCAATGGTATATAAGAAGATCTTATGGCTCAGTACTGAAAATCAAATGCGACCATGGCTCCCAGACTGTTCTGGCTAGACTAATAAGTAGCCACCTGAAATGCCTTTCCTTTGATAAAGGCAGAAAAATCACCCCAAACTTATAAGAGTTTCGGTGACCATCCAGCTTCACTCAATCATATTATGGTTTGCACTGGACTTTCTAAGGGGGACTTAACATCCGATCTTCTTTTTATAGTAGATTTTCTGGCGGTCAACAACTTTCTTAAGCTGATCTTACATCAGCTCCAGAAGGTTGAAGAAGCTCTAGATATTTCGAGGAAAAGCAACAAACAACAATAGCCATGAGTTCGTAACCGTAACCATTCTAGTACCAACATATGTATGTAGATGAAGAAAAACAAACAAAAATAGGGTTAATCTGAATTGTGTGCGTCTTTTGTGGTCGTTGAATATTTTTTCAAATAAAATCAAAGGAAATCAAAACGCGTAAGGGTAAATTGTACAAAGTGACAATGGTATGTCACTCGTCATAAAACAGTTGTAACTTTCTTTCACTTTAAGCAAACAATTTACAATAACAAGTAAATATCAATGAAAAACATTTTATAATAATGGCATTTAATGCATATAAATGTATATCTTTAACGAATAATTAAGTGTAGCGTTATTTCAATGCGGAACAAAAACATAAAAATCTATTTCGAATTTTGGACATAAACCAAATTATTCCTAATATTTTTATTCCCTAAAACATAATCATTACTGAAACGTTAAAAATGGGTACTTACGTATTGTACCGTAGACCACTTTCGTTAAAACAAAAAACGTCGCCAAAAACTACGAAATACAGACAGTAATAGAAAACCATACCTGCAAATGTTAAAACACAATCTTGTTAACACATGTTCAAAAATAATAACCTTTTATTGTTTGTACCATTCTCACGCATGTTCAAACACAGTAATCTTCATCACGACACTCGAAAATGAAAACATTGTTTGTATAACTTGTAATGTTAACTATTTTCTTATTTCATTGTAAAAAATGATTAAAATTTGGAGGATTCATTTTTTAATGAAGATATCTCAATGAATTATTTCAATATATACGGCCTAACACGTAAGTACCAGAAAGGCTATGGGTTAAGCAAAATGGTAAAACAAAAAGCATTGCGAAAATTCACGACAGCATTTTGATTCGTATTAATGTGACTTAAGTAACATCGCCTATTTAGAAAACTCATTTATCATAATTTTGAATGCAATTCTGGCGTTTTGACCGCCTGAATGATGTAGTTATTATCAGACATTAAATTTTTTCAACTATACGAGGTTTTTTAATGCAATATTTAAAATTCTAAATCTTCGCTACTTATATGTTAGCCGATTAATCTGAAGAAAATGCATGAGTTAGAATTTATTTTCATACATGTATAGAAATAACGTCAGATTTACATTTTTTTGGAGAGGAGAGGGATTTGTGCAAATGTCTTTTGATTTGGTGAAATTGGTTGACAGTATTATACGTAAAAACCTAAAAATGCATTCTTTTTTTAGATTTAGTTCTGAAACTTAAGAAGAGCAAAAGAAAAGAATTATGTAGCAAAACGAGTAGAGACAGTAATTTATGTTTGTCCGCTTTTTTGTTTTATTTTTAGAAGCACCAAACGAAAAAAGTTCTTTAAAAAACTGGAAAATTAATACTTTTTAAAATCTTTACTTTATTATAAAAAAAAATCTATCTTTTTCTAAATCTCTTAAAACTTTAAAAACATTTAATTTTTTTTTAAAAAACTTCAAAGATATTATTTTATTTAAATATTTCCAATATAACAAGAGAATAATTTGCTTTTATTGAAAAAAAAACATGTTTGATTGCTTATTTTTATGAACATTTCATTCTACTTACAACTGTGGCACTTGGTATGATAAATCAAGAAAATGCAAGACAGTATAGAATGCATTTTCATTTTATTTAACACTTCTTTATCAAATCCTAATCTATTCTGAAAATCACAAACTTCTCAGCTCTGCATTTTTAGAAAATATAGCAAAACAGAAAAAGATGCTGCGTATAATTCTATTTTTAGCCGTTACTCAAATATAGCTGCCGTATAATAAAAAGTTACAGCCGGTGTTGAATTTTTCTAAAGTATAAGAAAATGCAGGAGAAGAAAAGTAATAAAAATTCCTTAAGAGAGAGAATGTAGTCTATTTTTACACAAATTCCTTTCACGAACAAATAAGATTCTATATACAGTTCAGCGATTGAAAAATAAAAAAAATCTTTAAAAAATGCTTTTATAAAGATATTTTGAAAATGCTTTAACCAAATACACAATGCTATATTTAAGTGTTTTTAGAATGGCCAAAGAAAAAGAATCATAGTAAATTAATACAAAAGTTTAATATTCTTTTTCTTTTGTTCTTGGAACTCATTAAAAAAAGAAAAGGATACACTTTTCAAAGAATGAAGAATTTATAACTTTAATCTAAAAAACAGTGATATAGCTCTAATATGGCATATTAAATAATTTATTTTTTCTCATGTTTATGGAATGTACTCATCCTATGAAAGAATTAGTTTATGGATTCTTTTTCATTACCGAAAAATTAATAAGTTATGTATTATAGAAGATTTTCCTGACAAAAACACATTAAAGAATTTTTAATCATCTTAATTTCAAATATGCGAAAAACGTAAGATGGACTTTTTTTTTTCCTTTTGCTTAAAAAATAACGACTTTTTTGAATACCAAACATTTTATAATACTTGTTTAAAAACATTTTGACACTGGAAATGTTTATTACATAAAATACATCTAAATTTTAAAAGAGCCCCCAAAAAAATATTTACCATGTTACAAGCAGAAAATTATGAGTGTTTTCATAATGGCTTACGTCGAACACGGCCGTTAGATTCAAATTTTATTTCCTTGGACAAATTTTGTATCATTTCCATTATAACGATATGTCAATACATATATAAACCATTATTGTGAGGAAGAATAAAAAGCTTGAATAGTAAATTATATGATATAAAAACTGAACAAAAGTTATTTCTCATTTTTGAAAAAATGGAGTTCAACCAATTTTGGAGAGAGAAATGCTAGAAGAAATAAAAATAATAATGTTATATTACATCTCTAGGAGAACCATTTTATTTTTTCTGAAAGTTAAACTCTTAAGATTTTTTTACTATATACATTACTTTTAGTGAAATAAAGAAATTAATTTTGAAAGGCGAAAAGAAAATTTAATAGTGCTTCTTTAAGCAACCGACATAAGTCGGAAAAATTTTAATACATCTTTTAAAAATTGCAAAAATATTTTTAAACATAATTGCAGTCGTTTTTATTACTTTTATTTATTTTATTCTTTTCATTTATTTATTTTACTCATTTAATTTACTTACGTATTTGATTTACTTTTGTAAGACAAGAGGAATAATTCTACTTATTTTTTTAGTAATAATTTTAAGCTTTTCAAGATAGTTTAAAACCAGTTTAATAAGGTGGATCGAATTTTTTTTTCAGAATTTCAAAACCTACCTATGCGAAAAAGATGTTCGGTGGTATATAGATGAAGGGAAAAATAAAATGAAAAATAAATTTTTATGCTAAATATACTGCCACAACGGGAATGAAGTATAGGTATTTGAACTTTTTTTATAGTAAAAAGACAAAATAGTTTTTGTTATAGAAAAATAGGCATTTTTTTAATATTTTATTTTATTGCGATGAAAAGACACATGCTAAATAGTTACAAGAAAACACACTAGGTACATTTAACAACTTTTTTCGTAATAATTTCCTTAAAAAACCTACAGTCGAAACTGTAGAGCACCATAAAACGGAAGACGGGAAAAAGCTTGGATCGGACTGATTCGACCGTGCGGGGAGAGAGCTGGGGTTATGAATTTTTTGCAATGTACATTGCACAATACATTCCTCTATACTCACTTATAAATAATTATCTCTTTTAGTTTTCTATATTGTAGGAAAATAAGTTTATTTTTGTGTGAAAATCATCTAAGAAAAAAAATTAAATCTTTTTCCATTTTTTCAAAAATTTAAAACTTTGTGGAAATATTAAAAATTTGGAAATTATTTATGCACAATCATTTTTCTCCTTATTCCCATACAATAGAACAGGGGTCGGCA